TATATATATATATATATATATATATATCATTCATTTCCCCATAAACTTAAAATAGAAAAAGAAGAAATAGACATCTTTTCCTGCCAAAAAAAGATAACTTGATACTTGATAGTAAACAATCAAAGTGCATGTTTATTTTATATTTTGCAGCACCTTTACCTCGATTTTTGCACTGCATGTAGGAGATACGGCATCAAATTAATTATTTTGGAAGTCAAATTTGATCTCAAATAGGATTATTATTATTATTATTATTATTATTATTATTATTATTATTGTTATTATTATTATTATTATTTATAAACAAGGTACACACAATATCCTAAAATCGAATTAAAAATATAAGATCATATATATAATCCTATTTAATATATAGGAAAAAATAAATAATTTAAAACTATTTAATATCAAAAGAATTAGTGTAGTGTTGAAGGATAATGGTATTTAAAATATTTCTAAAAGAATTAAATTTTATGTAGACATTGCAAAAAAATTTAGGGATAAAATTCTTTTAAAAAAAAAATAAAGGTCTTGTTTGTTGTTTTTTTTATAAATAAAATAACTTTGAGTAAATTATATATAAACACCTTTGAAGTTTTATGAAATTGCATTCACTTCTTTAACTTTTTTTATTCCTATACTAACCTCTTTATTATTTTAAAAAATCACACTGATACTCTTTAAATATTACATTAACCTTATTTAATTGTTTGAGAAGCATTACATTATAATATAATTAACAAAGAAGATTAATATAAACTTAAAAAAAAACATGAGGATATATGTAATCTCACAAAATCTTAGGGTGTAATTTACTTAACAACTTTTGATTTTCTATAATTTATTTGTTGATCTATATGATATTTGAAAATATTTATCACATGAGCTCAATTTTTAAAAATTTGTTTCCGAAGCACTTGAACACCACTGTAAAAAAAATATAAGAGGATTATAAAATATTTTCCTACTATGTCCGCCTTTCATTTCTTAAAACACTTGTCTGGAAACACTTTTTAAAACTATATGAATTTTGGATAAATTGATTGTTGAATAGTGTGAAATTGTTTTGGAAATCAAATTTTAAATTAAAAAAAAAAATGAGTAGAGAATCAAACAACCCTAAGCACGGTCTTTTCAGATAAAAGATAATGCCAGTTTTCTTTGGCTGTTGGCAAATGAAAAACTACCATAAGCAAAAGGACAATAATAAATAATTATAAAATAATAAATACATATATAAAGTATAGATCTTCATCATCTTTGAAACGTTAGGGTACAGCAAAAAGAAGAAATTGTTGGTCAAATCAATTTCATCTAACTTGGTTTATTCAATATAACAAATAACAATACATATATATGGACCAATTTGAGAGCAATGCCTCGTCGACCCAGAGTTGGCTCGATCAATCCGACAGTGTTAATAAGTATCCAAAACTGGATCAGATACATGGTTGTCTGTTTAGAAATTTCGCTAAAAACACTTTTAAAAAAATAAATAAATAAAACAATTTTTTCTATAAATTAAAATTAGTTTATACATAAATTAATTGGTAGAAATTTTCTTTTATTATTTTCTTTAAAATTTTATTTTTAACTTATGTATATATAAACCAATTTTAGTAATTTATTTCAATTTTTCTTATTATTTTATTCTCTTAATGTTTCTGCTCATATATAGTAACAACAAAAGCTTATGCTTAACCTTAAGTTATCATTCTTAACACATACTAGGATCTAAGTGGTATCTTAATAATCTGTCGAGAAAAAGGTGGTATCTTAATCTGTTAATCTGATGTTTAATAAATATGGAACGACAACCGATAACTGATTCAGAAACATAAAACGATCCAAATTAACAATGCACAATTCAAACGACCTAATTCAACAAATATTTGCAGAAGAATGCTTCCAATTTTCCCCTCTTACTCTCCTACGTCATTTTTACCATAAAATTTGATGGAAGTGAAAAATTTAATGCTGCAATGTGATTGCTGATATGGGAATCAATGCACATGGCACCCATCAACAACTATACCTTTTTGCAATGACATTTGGCACATCCTCAATGTTTGGTCTGTTCCCCCACTGGGACAAGCTTTTTGTTCATCACCATGGTAAATTACTATGGAAAAGTTTTAGGTATTATTTCATGCAGTTTTTTAATTAGAGTTAAAATTTTATTTTATAACATGTAAATATATATTCATGAGATTTGCATAAAATGGAAGTATATAATATTAAGATAAAATTTTAACTTCAATTAAAAAACTGCAATTAACAAATCGTACCTAAATCAAACTTGTCTATTGGTAATTGTAAAATGGAGTAGAATATATCCCTGATATCGCATGCAGAGGATAAAAATAACAATGGTAAAGAGGCAATGGAATATGATCTTACACTTAAGTTCACAAACCAATCCAACTTGAGTAGGTTGTTTTCATATTGATTTTTATCTTATTTTTTAAATTTATTTTTGTCTTTTATTTAAAAAATATTTTAGTAATTTTTTTAATTTAACTTAATTCGATATTTTAAAATAATGATCTTTTCAATTTCAAGACACAAATTTAAATTATTTTTTTACTAATTTAAGATTTGTCTCATTAATTATTTTTATTTATAAAAAAATTATGAAATTTAATTGATATTTAAATAAAAAGTACTATAACATAAAAAAATTGCGTAAAAATAAATTTTACAAATGATTAGAAAAGAATATGATATTAAAATTTTCAATTGCTTGATGAAATCATTTTTATGCAATTTTTTTTTTGTTATATTTGACTTTTATTAGTTCACACAACAAATAATTTCAATAAATATAATTTTCATATAAATTGTCTAATATGATAAATTTTATGTCTTAAATTAGTAAAAAAATAAAATAAAATTTTATTCCAAAATTAAAAACAATCATTAATTCAAAAGGATTAAATTAATCCAAATTTAAAGAAGTAAAAATTATTTTTAGTTCCTCCCTAATTTGTAAAATTCATTTTCAGTCTTTTAATTTTGTTGTATTAAGAATAAAACATGTTGAAAGTGGCCCTTATTTACATTTAAAGAGACTGGCCTTGCACATAAATTTTAGTAAATAAGTATTAACCTCAACATGTTTTAGTTTTCAACAGACTAATTTAATTAAAAAAATTAGAAAATTAAAAATGAACTTGAAAATTTTTGAAAGGGCTAAAAGTAACTTTTATCTTTTAAAAATTAGAAGACTAAAAGTAATCTTTTAAAAGATAAAAAATTAAAATAAAATTTAAAAATAAAATAAAGAACAAAAATGCAATTTAACATTTTTTTTACTACTAATCCATAATTGTTGATCGAGCATATAGCGGGATTGGATATGCACGGAATAACTCCATATTAACAATTTAACATCACTAAATTTGTATAAATAGCATAAATCAAACTAGTAATGTAAATTTATCAAACAAGTAAGCAAAATGTGGTAAAATAGTTGTTGGCAAGAGTTGAACCAAGATCAACATAGTTTAAGAGAAGCAAATTGACCACTGCACCACACGTATTTATGTATACATTGTACATATATTAAACATATATATAGTTTAGATTAAATTATATTTTATTTATATATATCAATTCGTGTATGTAGTTTAACTAATGAGTTACTACTTTGACTAGTAACTCACTGATATATATATATATATATA